TTAAGAATGATAAGCATATATTGTGAGCCTTATTTCACTTTTTTCATAAGCTTATTCTTTCTTTTTAAACTTTTTTAAGCTTACATATTATTGTATAAGCTTTTGCATAAGCATTTTTCAAACATTTTATATGCTTATAATATAAACTTCAACTGCTTTGAAAATTTTGTTTTTACCTTTGAATCAACACCATTGGTCTATTAACATTATGATTGTATCTTGTGTTCTTGATATAATGGACCATAAATAAATTCATCAAATGGTAGACCACGAGCAAAATTATCAGTTTAAAAATAAAAATTAAAAACATTAATATAATGTTTTTAATCTTTAATATAATTTTTTTTTAATATAATATTTTTCACATTACTTTGTCAGGACTTCAATGACAAAAAGATATTTTTTTCTAAAAAGAAAATATATATTTTTTATCTCTTTTTCATTACGTATGAATGTATCTACATATAGAGTATGCAGTGACTCCTACATCAGTAAAACTTGCTCATTTCCAATTGACTCTAACTGATTCCATAGGTGATCATATATCCTGCAATTAAAGTGCCCGCAGATGGTTTCAGAAAAAAGAAAGTGTGATCCCACATATATTCCAATCAGATCTAGAAAATATTGTTTTATTTTACGTTGCAGATTTAAAAATATTTTAAGATATTGTTAAAAACATATCATATTTGTAACTTTGATGCTATTTTGAGATAACAAGTAAGACATTCCCAAATTTAATTTATATAAAAAAACATAGTTTATACACATATAATATATGTGTGCATAAACTATGTTTTTTTTTATATAAATACATATGTATATATACATATATTATATGTACATATATATATATATATATATATATATATATATATATATATATATATATATATATATATATATATATATATATATATATATAAATATATATATAAATATATATATATACATATTTATATATATATATATATATATATATACATATATACATATATATATATATATATATATATATATATATATATATATATATATATATATATATATATATATATATAAATATATATATAGATATATATATATATATATAAATATATATATATAAATATATATATATACATATTTATATATATATATATATATATATATATATATATATATATATATATATATATATATATACATATATATATATATATATATATATATATATATATATATATATATATATATATATATATATATATATATATATATATATTCTAAAGTCACTGCATATTTTCTAAAGCTGTAGTGTCTGGGTCAAGAAGTAGCAGTGGGAAAATTGTGTTTGAACACTATGATAATCTTGTCTTAAAGGTGGTTCAGTTAATAGTAGGCCATTACCATTTGGTGTTTCAAGTTGCGAAAAATTAACTTTAAATAATATCGAAGATGTAATCGATGATTACGAGGATATTTCGGACTGTAGTGAAAATGAAAATGAATTAAAACATAAAAAAAGAAAAACATCTCTAGTTCCAAAACTTATTGACAATAAAAGAAAAATGCTTGAAAAAAATATTTCTGCAGCAGAGAGATAAACTCTTTTTAAATGAAATGAAAAGTGATGGAAAGCCTAGCAAAGATCTAACTAAAGCCATAAAAGAATCCAATGAATATTTTTCTGATTTCATAAAAGACATTAGTAAATCGATTAGTGACCTAAGCAAGGGTTTGTGTCCTTCTATGGAATTACTTTCCAAAATACCAATCTCCCAATAACAAACATCTGCTATTCAAACTCTTACACCTCAGCATTTTATTTATCAAAACGATAGTGCTTTTCAACCTATTTGGATTCAGAAAAATGATAACCACGAAAAGTCAATTGACGATAGAAACAAACAAGTTTAACTAGTTTTTATTTATAAACTTAATTAGACATGTAAGCATTTATGTCATTAAAAAGTCTTAAGTGATTGATACATTTTAAAAATCTTTAAGAAACTCTTTTAAAAATATTTACAAATAATGTTGTGAAAAGTTTATAAATAAAATTCACTGTTTTATTACAATAATAAATTTTATTTTTTTAAACATGTTCAACAATAACTTGTCAAACAAGAAATCATAATAAAACTGGAACAAAAATGTAAAAAAAAAATTATTTTATCAAAAGATGAGTATTGTTTCTTGTTATATTTAATTTTATTTTGTATAAACAGTTTGCTTTTAAACATAGTTTTCACTAATGTCCTCAGTTAATGCTTTGCGAATAATTTCACCTTCACCGTCAATACAAGAAAAAATTGGATCTGGAAAATTTCTAAAATTTTTTTCATTTTTATTTATTACCTCAACTTGTATTTATTACCTCAACTTGTATTTTTACTAACTCTTTATCAATGCAGATATTGTGCCGTTCACAAAAGTTATGTAAAATAAAACATGCATCAATTACTGTTGGAATTTTTTCAAGTTTTAAATCTATTTTTTTGGTCAAAATTTTCCAACGTGCTTTAAGTCGACCAAAAGCACATTCTATAGGACTGCGTGCAGTCCTCAACATACTGTTAAAAATGACTTCTTCATTTTTCTTGTATGTACTATATTCTTTCATAGAATGTGGAAGTAGTGGATATGCAGGATCTCCAATTAGGTAGTATAGAACTTTTATTTTGCTCTTAGTAATAGTTTGAAAGGTTCCTGGAAGTCTTGAACTTCTCAAATTAGTATTAATAGAAGAGTTTGAAAAGACTTTAGCGTCATGCACACTACCAGGCCACATACATTAAACATCCAAAAAACTGCCTTTGTAATCACAAACTGCTTGAACCTGTAATGAACAGTTTGTAACAAAAACAATCTTGAGAATGATTATTTGGACAAACAATGGGAATGTGAGTGCCATCAACACAACCAAAAGCTTGAATCATTCCAAACTTTGACTCAAACTCAGATATTTTTTCTCTCATTTGCTGTTTATTTTTTGGTAAATAAACAAACCTTGGTCCTATATACTTTACAATAGCATTAGAAACTTCAAAAATGACTGCTGAAGTAGTACAAACTGCAATTCTAAAAGTGTTTGCTGTCATTTTCAATGTACCACTGTCTTTTAAATAGTATAGCGTTATAGCAACTTTTTTATCTGGTGTGATTGCTCTTATATTTGGTGAGTAAGAATCTGGAGATATATAAGGTTCAAGAAGGGAAACAAGTTCAAAAAAGGAATTTTTATCTAATCGAAAGTTTTTTTATAAGCTTCTTCAGGTGTAATGTTTAATATGAGATTTTGCCACCACAAGTCTGTGCGTCCAAAATAGAACCAGCAGCTTCTTTTTTTCCTGTTTTTTTTTAGCTAATCTCAATCTTCTTAAAATACGACGTCTAGAACTCAATAAATCAAGAATTATTAACTGATTAAAATCTTTTAATCAGTTAATATTTAACACACCCTAATATAAATTTTATATTAGGGTGTGTTAAAACATCATCAACACATTTAACATTAGTTTCACATTTACCTTCAATGTTTTTTAGTTGTCCGGTATTAATTTATAGAACTTTTTGTTATACAGAAAAAAACTTTTAAAGACTTTATGAAAACAGCAGTTGTGTTATTTAAATTTTTTTTTTTTAGGTTGTGGGGGTGGGGTGGGTGGGTGGGTTAGATGCTCCTTCCATACATCAACGCCACTTGTGTATTTAAATTCTTGTAAAACATATTTTTATTATGTATACTATTGAATTCATTGTAGTAAAGATAAAAATATTTATGAAAACAAGTCATATTTGATACTAGGGTGAATCAAACCATCACCACTGCACCATATTATAAGTGGTTTAATATAATTTTATAACAACTTTTTTTGTATATTTAAATAACTTGTCTTGAAAAAAAAACTTTTTTTCTGAAAAAAATGATCATTTTCATATGTGTAAGGTGGTGATTTGGTGTCCCCTCTGTCCACCCGATACGCCCGGTGGTTAGAGTTTAACAAAAATTTTTTATATAATACAACTAAAACTAGTTATCAAAAGTTATAGGCATATAAGTTGTGTGTGGATTAGGGTACGCCACTTAAAACAAAAATTAGCAAAGAAACTTCTAGCATCAATATTATAGTGCCAATAAATATTACTCTTACACCTTTTGACACCAAGGTTTTTCACCAAGGTATTTGTATTTCGATCAGAATTAAAAAAGTTATGACAATTTAAGTGAGGAAAAACATAATTTTGACCACAGTTTTTTCAACAATTTCATATATCAAAAAATCGGTACTTAAACCGTCATAACTTTTTGAAATCTTTACTCACGTATATATATATATATATATATATATATATATATATATATATATATATATATATATATATATATATATATATACAGTGACGGATTAAGACTTCTTGGGGCCCGGGGCTATTTTTGTTTTTGGAAGCCTTTTTATGAGCCAGAGCCTAAAAGTGACTTAAAAAAAAAAAAAAGTCCTCTAAAATTTTTTGGGGCCCCTAAATTTGCGGGGCCCGGGGCTATAGTCCCTAGCTCCCCCCTCCCCTTGATCCGGCACTGTATATATATATATATATATATATATATACATATATATATATATATATATATATATATATATATATATATATATATATATATATATATATATATATATATATATATATATATATATATATATATATATATATATAAATGCATATACATTTTTTTCGTCTTTATTTTTCATAGTTATTTTAAAGTCATTTTTTAAGCTGAAGAAAATTTATTTCATAGACTTATGAACTTTTTTAGTAATATTAGACAACGTCTAATTGACAATGTATGTGGGACAGTGTAGTAAAACAATGCCTAGCTAGCAAGAACAAATAATAATAAAGCAAATTGTAATCAATTCGCTAAAATAAATTACAGTTGTTTAAATTTAATGTAAACGTAACAAGAAAAAAAGGAGATCGATACTTTCGCTATGAGATTTTTTTGTTTACTGCGCACCTTCGAAAGAATGAGAACGAGTAATTTCTGGAACAAAAACATAAACAAAGCGCTATTTTTTGCTTATACTGAGAAAGTGCTGTTACTCTGCTGCCGGACACTGTTAAAAAATTCAACTCTGTTGAACCTACGGCAAAGTTTTTAACAGCGCAGACAAAACTGGATCAAATGCTGAAGTTGTACTATAAATTTGTAAAACAAAGAAAATACGCGAACCGCTGAATAAAGTTTTGGAGATCACAAATAAAGATAGTGTATGGCTCTGCAGTAAGAGCAAAAGGTTGTACCATCTTCAGATTTGAAAGAAAAAGACAGGTCGGGTATACAACTAGGAAAGCTTCTACTTCGACAGTAGCGGCAACAACAAAAACTTCAACTTCCGAATCCAAGTATGAGGCAAAATATCAAGAGTCTGAAGATTTAGAAGAACAGTCCACAAGTACCAGCAAGAATTATACTAAAACCAAAGCTGCAACCTAAGTAGTAAGATCCTCAAAGTTATCAATCATCAAAGCAGCAAAGGTTTTTTTGACAGTTATCTCATGATGGGATCGATATTTAAATACCTTCACAGTCTCTTATATTTAGATCAACTATAAAGAAACTGTTAAACTTAAAGAGGAGATGAAGAAAACACAAAATTTAGAAAGGTGATCCCTGCACTTTAATGGTAAACGTATTAGTCACCAAGAATATCAAGTGTAAGACCATTGGATTACTGACCAAATGTAAACAAATATATATGTATAGAAATATATGTATAAACATGGGTGCATATACTTTTTGATGTTTGAAATCCAAACATTTATATGTTTATGCTTGAGAAACAAACTCCAAGCAAACTCCATTTATATGTTTATGCTTATGTCAAAAAAAAATGCTTTGCAAAAAATTGAGATGAATAAAAGATAAAGAATATCTATACCTAACTAGTTATGTGAACATAAATACCTATCTACTAGGTTTCTGTCAATTGGTTTACAATATAATTTTTTATTTTATTTGCTTTGTTTGATATCATATCAATGTTTCATTTTTTTATTTTGTGAATTAGGTAGACTACTCTTTGTAAAGGTGGTAAAAAATCTTCTTCGAGTTTATTAAATGCTTTATCAGTTGCAACTGAATATTTTTCCTAGTTCCTAAGACTTTTACATTTAACTGGAATTTTTTTTAACACTGCTCTAAATTTTTGTTAACTAAACATCCTGGACTATGGAGCATTTTAAGAGTGCAGCTTAAAAGTAATCTATGTCCTCTAGAAAAATGTTGACCTAATTCTCTCTCAGTACTTTAAATACTCAACAATAAAATAGTCTAGTTTTTTTAATTGTTCATAATCAATATAAAAGAAAAGATTTTTCAATATCTTTTTTGTTGTTAATTTAATAGCCTTGATCTAAAAACCTTATGATTTTCATTTACATAATGACGTCAAGTAAGTGAAAATTACAAGTTCTATAGATCAAGATCAAAAAAATCAAGATAAAAAAAAACAAACATAAAATCAAATATTAATGTTTGATTTTATGTTTTTTAATTAAACTATAAATATTGTTACTTATCAAAAACGTGTGATAAGGGATCCCGCTATTTTATATATATTTACAATAATCTATGGTAATTTAAAGACCAGGTTTTTAGTTTAATAGTTTTCATGCATTATAAAATAAGGGTAATGCATATCACAGAAATCTTAAAAATTTGAATTTACACTGTCAAATAAACCTTAAGAGATTAAACTTTTAAAGTCCAACAAGCCGTCAAATTTGTGTTAATTGCATTTAGATTAAGAAAAACTTTTATATTAAACCAAAAAAACAGATTTTAAACATGAAGAAACTAATTTTTTTTTCTGTTCTTTGATATATTTGCGGACATATGACAGGTTAGAAATTAAATATAAAACTTAAAACTTGTTTATTAATATTGTTTTATTTTTTAAATTAATGTTTTACTTTGGTACAGCATCAACATTATTTTATATCGAAAAATGATACCTCAACTATGAATCAAATTTTTATACCTAAACTTGAGTAATTGAATTTTATACATAAAATTGAGTGAAAAGTTTAAATTTTATATAATTTTAGACATACAAAAAGACTAACAATCCTGAAAATTTTTTTATCCGTTAAACCAAAGTAATTTCTTTGCCAGATGAACCATAATCATGATCTCAGTTAAACTTTTCCCTTCTTTTTCTTCAACATCATATTCATTCTATTGTTGAACCTTTTAAAACCGTAAAGATGATTGGGACACCTGTTATTTTTTGGGACTATTGTTTGAGAATCATCAAAAATTAGGTGGAGCCATCGAAAAATACTTAATCAATTTTAACATCGATGAACTATTTTCCGATGTAAACAAAGAATCTAAACACATATCAAACTGGTTTAAATGCAATAAATTAACCATGAACGTGGAAAAAAACAAGGTAGATCCTGTTTCACTCCCTATCATAAAAATGCTTATTGCCGAAAATCTTGCCAAAATAATTTATAGACAAAATTGATTAAAAAAAAAGAATCCCAGGAAAAAAAGTTCATAGAATTTTCTATAAACTTTTCAAACATATGGCCTATAGAATTTCTATAGAATTCTATAGAGTTTTTATAGAATCTCAGTTAATTTCTATAGAAATTCTATAGAGCTTTTATAGAATTTTTATAGGCTATATGTTTCAAAAGTTTATAGAAATTCTATAGAACTTTTTTTCCTAGGATCGTCAACAAGGTTTTTAGGAATTTATTTTTTAGGAATTTAGTTTTTAGGAAGTTATCTAGATGAAAATATACATGATAACCTCATATTAACAACATCAGCTCTAAAATTTCTCAAATTATTGGAATTTTATTTAAATTGAGAAATTATTATAACAAAAAATTAGAAACTATTACAAAAATTACAAATTAAAAATGCAAACTTACTACTCACTTATATATAGATGAACAATGCAAATATTGCTTGGGGAAGTACAAAAATTGCGATTTTTTTATCATCGGCAGAAACACGCCACACGCTTAATATATTTTCAAAATTGTTATCAAAAGTTCACTTTTCCTTGGTCAGTTTTTTTGTAATAAAAGATTTTGTAAATAGATACTTTAAACGAGTCTTCTTTTCAATTTTCCCTCTCAGAAGTTTCATCTGAAATGACAGTCTTCTAGTAAAAATTTGGCGACCAAGTATTAAAAAGTGTAAATCATGTTGTTTGTGACAAACAGTTTTGAATGTAACTCTATCACCAAGATTCATCAAGAATCTCGTAAAACAAAGATTTTTGTTTGCCCCGAAGAGTCATCATTGAAATGTACTAGATGCTTAGTTTCACTAGGAATATTAGTTTTCAAATAATGTAGAGCCATTAAGAAAACTTCCTCTGCGGATTTATTGGCCTCGCTTTTGTGTTAAATGTGCATTTTAGATTTTTTTTTCTTCATGTTATGTACATAAAATTTAAGCACAAATGGCGCATACGGAATATCACCAGTACAGGTATCTTCGCAAGTAGTAAATTTTGCATGTAGTCAAAACAAAGCACTACTATATTTTCATCAGCGTTCTGAATCATCTACTTTTGCTTTATACAAGACTTTATTGGCGTTGCGCTTGTGAATCATTTGTTCAGCAACTACGCTGAGCTTTACATTGTCATTTAGATAAGAGCCTCTTAATTTTTGACTTAAAATTCTCGCAGTTGTTGCAAAAATCAACTTGTGGCTGCCCAAAAGATAAACTGAATCTTTCCTTCAAACATCTATAGTAAAAACTATATTTTACTTTATCTATCAACTCGGGATAATCCAATTGAAACAAATATTATAGAAATAATAAACTCTGCATCCAAATATTACCTTATCCTAGCATCATATTGTGATTCCTTTAATTCAAAATTTGAAATATATTTATGGATCAGCACAAATATATATTGCCATTAATCGAATTTCCACTTTCGATATCAATTAAAAGATTTTTGCCACTTTTATCGAAAGTTTTTTATTTCGCAGTAATAAAAAGCATAACTTTGAAATTCAAACTTGAGAAACACCATGCATTCGAGATGTAAACTCGAGAAACACCATGCATTCGAGATGTAAACATGAGAAACACCATGCATTCGAGATGTAAACATGAGAAACGTTATGTATTCGAGATGAAAACTCAAGAAATACCATGTGTTTGTAAAAAACATTTTTGCATACTAGACAAAACTTACCATTGGTTTTTTGACATTTTACTTTTTGCTTGTGGGATTAGGAATACACATAAAGCAGCATCATCTGAGTTTGTCTTTTTTTACTCTTCATGCACTAGCTTCTATTAATATTTGTAAATATAAACCTTGTTCATTTTTAGTTTCCAACAGATAAAATTTGTTTCAATTTTCATTATCAATACACAAACCGCATTTTTGTGGTTTTTGATTTACTAGTGTGCAACTGTACACTAGTACATCAGGGATATATTAGATATAGCAAAATATTTTTTATATAATATGTATCTATTTACATCTTCAGAGCTGTTTTGTCCAGCTCTTAAAATGTAAAAAATATAAATCTCCACTTATCTGGTTTTTAATATATTTTCTGTATTGCGTAAAAATAAAAAGCAAGATAAATTATTCTTTGTAGTTTATTAATAGGTCTTACTAAAGAGTTTCTGATGGAGATAGAGGTTTTAACAAAAAATATAAAAATATAATTTAAAGTTGTAGTAAACATCCACTAATTAACACATTTCTACAGAATGATATAGTTAAAATACAGTATAAATGAAAAGGAGTTAAGCTACATAATTGGTGTTTTTAATTTAAATTGTTTCTAATACCACGTTAACAACAACATAAAAAAGTTATAACGATATTTTCGATAATGGAGCGATACTGTTATTAAACAACCCAGAACTTGACTACAAATTAATAAACAACTAAAAATTAAAGATAGAGTTTGTTCTCTCAAAGATACTTCAGGTAAATTCATTGAAACTCTTCATGAGTTGATCTTCTGAACTATAAGTCAATAATAGTTGGAATAGGCTTTAGTTTTTTTATTCATCTAAAACGTCGATTCTTGTTACCTTTCTTATAATATTTTTTTATCTTATAATGTTTGATGCATATAACGGAAGAATTAGTAGGTGTCCAATCTTTTTTATTTACAAATTTAATTCAATTTTTTTTTAACTCTTCATTTTTTGAAAACGAAAATACTACTGTAGATACTTCACCATAATTATGATAATTTGAACGACAATTTTTAACGCAACATTTGTTAACCATCTTTTTGAACTTACAAAGCTGCTTTCTTTTTTCGATAAAACTGGCCTTATATTATTTTCTTCTAGTAACATATGCAATTATTCCGTTTTACTTATCAAACCTGTTTTATTAAATGCATAGATAGCAAATGCAGAGGAAATAAAATAAAAAATATTTATGATATTTTATATCTGCAAAAATCTAATATCTATTTGAGTTTATTATTAAAAGTTATGCGTGTATTTTAAAATATGGTAAAAGGTATAATTAAATAATAATAATTTACCTTTTGATAGCCAAGTGGTACAAACTGATGGTAACTACGTGTTCCAGGTATTGTATTAGCAGTATCCAATCGTTTTTTAAGAGCAATTCTCACCTAAGTTAAATCTTCTGATGAAATATATATGAAATTTATGCCTTCAATGTTTTCATTGCAATATTTATACATTGTTTGTGGAGATAAAAGATGATTACCCATATCTCTTTGCAAACTTGCTAGCGTT